ATTTTAATTAAAGCACGCTACATTATATCAATATTAAAGGTATATTTGCTGTTAAAGATAAGATCTGATGCAAAGGGGGACACTTCAAAGTATGCATTCAAGTATATCTTTGATACACAGATATTTGCTTCACGTGCCCGCTTGGATATTATGTAAATTTTGAACTAACCATATTAGGTTAAATGTACATTTTTACCAGACACGGATAAGCTATGGAAATAAGTAGCGACTATTCATAGTGGAATATGTATATACATATATGAAGGGATGTAATAGCTTCATGATATATGTAAATTTATTATAGTCTTGTCAAGACAAAATCTCTTAATAAACGAAATGCAAAATTTTCATTTACGTACACTGGATTTAAAGTTGAATTAAACACATTTATTACAGTCAAAATTTAAATCATGAATAAAACTTATTTTGCAATATTAGGAGGATTTGTAAGCGTTTGTGTTTTCCTTGGAGGGTATATTTTTGCTGCTGTTTTTGGAACTATATTGACAGTTCTGGCGTTGACTTTGTATCCGGAAAGAAGGATAGAGGTGGACGCTGAAAACAAGGCGGTGTTTGTCACAGGTAATGGATATACATATTGCTGAATATTTTAAAAGGGTGAATTTGATCGGAAATGTTAGAAAATGTAATGCAGCTAGGTGTATAGCGGAATTTAAGTAGTATGAATGTGTTATGAATTGGTTATGAGTTTGTTATGAATATTGTTGGTAATATGCTTTGACCATGTCAGTTAAGAAAGCAAATCTATACCAGTCATTTCAGTTTTCCACATAGATGTAGTAATTTGCGATTTTAGCATTAATTAACGATGCTTTATAACGTTCATAATTTGCTGACATGTTTTTATTATTATTACCACTTTTGTACATAGATCTGATCAGAGAGGTAGTTCATAAAAATTTATTTAAAAAATAAATTAACCGCTTTATGCATGTAATCATGGGACTGATTATTTGTTGACACAAAAACTTAAGACTTCGCATTGCATGAAATTAATGGTCATGCCACTTTAACACACATTTTGTTACAATTCACATTTCCGTTGTGACACTAATTAGTAGCGGTAACGCTTCCTCAAGCTATTAAATAATCAGCGAACGTTAATTCCCTCTGTTTAGATGTGTACTTTTCCCTGGGCAAAATTTTCATTTACGTTTTCAACGTAAACTACGTATGACAGCCGCTTCATTGTACAATGTTTACATTTTTACATTAAAACAGCATGCATGGCCAAATGATATCTTGTTACCACACTCTAGTCAAATACATACAGCTACCTTAGTAAAGCTTAATTAAAATTATTTAGTCATTTTATCTCAGGCAAATTTTGTAAATATGCTTTTAATTTATAGAGTAAACATTTTATGTTGACATTACGGGGACTGAGAGTATCGCTTTACATGTTTGCTTGCTATCAAAACATTATACACAGGTATAACTATGAAAATTGACATTTTTACTTAATGCACTATTCTAACAATACTTTTATTACCTATTCATTTAGTTTATCAATAATAAAATCTATAAATAGCATAAAGTTTGCTTATTTGGTAAAATTGTTATGTTTCCAGGACCGTAAATTCCTTGAAATATTAACGAAAAGAAACATTACATGTTTAGAAGGTAGAACATATGAGATTAGGCAAATATAACTTGATATAGAATTCATTATTGAACTGAACCAATCATGGAATTAAACTGGCTCGATTGAAGAAACAACGTTATTTATCCTGTAACACATTTTTTATGGTTTTATATTATAAAGAAGATGCTCAAATTAAGATTTATAAATATTGTAGTTCCAATATATGCATATATAAAATTTCACTTAAGTGTGGTAACAACCTCAATTAAAACATACAGGATCTTTAAAAAAGCAATGTAGAATATTGTTGTAGACTTAATAAGTCTTATTGCTCGGCCGAATGTATATGAAAATCAATGCCTGTACGTATTCAATTCTGATAGATAATTAACCTTCAACATTTAAAAACGTTTAATCTTTTCTGTACAAATGTGTTCATATCAAAGTGTGTTTGACTGTTGTATTGTCACATTTAAGCAATATGGCATTGAGTAAAATCATTTTATAAGAAACTATGAGTAGCTGTATCTATTATGCCAATTGTTCTTGAAAAAAAAACCCCAAAAAAACACACAGCAAAAACGTTCAAACCTCTCTCAAACCCATTGTATTGTAGACAATATTGCTTTGATGGTTAAATATTAACTTCCTCCTCAGTATCGTTTTCATTAATAACAAGTTGTCGTGACAAGATAATTATACGAAATAGCATCTGCTGCTTTCTCTAATTATAAGTTACCTTAGGAATCAATACTTTATGTCTGTGACTCCACCAGGGAATAAATCTTTGACAATATCTCAACAGAAACTAAGAAATGTTCTGTTTGTTTTTCATTACAGCTTGTTTTCCTATTATTGTGAAATTCGGGACAAGTAACAAATAATAATACTTGCATGTAGCCTTATTTTCATACGATATTTTGTTACATACAAATATAACTTGATATTTTTAAACAACAATTTCGTGATTATATAATTCATGCTTTAAATCTAAGACACATTAATGTAATATTCAAATCTGAAATCTAAAACCGTTTTTACTTTGCAATTGATAATTGGAAAAGAAATGAAAAAGAGAAAATATTATTTTCATAAAGAAACAATGATTCGAGAAGAACAGAAATACGAAAAATGAAATAAAAAAATGGGTAAATGAATGACTAATACAAACTTGTATTGATATTAAAAAGAACAGAAACATACACACAAGCAAACAATGCAAAGTAAACATTGGCAATTACGTCCATATAATTTTTTATTTACATTGCCCATGCACATTTTGATAAGTTTTATGTAAACTTATCAAAAGAATTTATCAATATAGTGCATTACGTAAAACAGACGTAGTTAACAAGTGCCAAAATCATGATATCTTTTTAACTTTGATTTTTAAATACATGAACCCTAAAACGCATATATTTATACCTGTTTTTCGTCTGAAATGTGAAACGGTCTGTTTGAATACTCATTTTTGAACTACAATTGAATAAATTAGAAAATGAAATAGATGCCGATATAGCATCTACTTCTTTTCACATATATTTGTAACAAATAAAATACTTAACTAAATAATCTTATTACCCGCAAGATCCCCCTTATGAAGAAATCTCTCTACCCGTATAACACCGTTAAGTGATATGTTCTAATAAATGATCCACGCAAAGACAAAATATCTCTACCCGTATAGCACCGTAAAGTGACAAAAAATCTGATAAATTATCATCACAAAGACCATTGCGATTCCTCTGGTAATATATTGTTATCAAAAATGAATGTTAAAGAAAACAAAGTGAATGTTACATCTGTTAATGTAATTATAGGTTATCTAGAATATCAGTTTTGTGTCTAAATTATTTCCTTTGGGATATCATCTTTGAAAGATTGCATGGATTATTTGTGCTGAAAGTATCGACTACTTCTTCTTAAAACGTAATTGTTTGCTTTGTGATACCAGCTGTTTATTCGTTTTAAAGATTTTTCAGCAACATTTTGATTCAGATTTACCGATGTTACATAAGGAAAGTATTTAAATTCAAGAGAAGATTTTGTCTTATTCAAAGGGGTGCACTGATTATTGTGTAGAATGCACTGCTTATATCATACCTTCTTATAACCTTTTCCCTTTATTAAATCTTTCTGAAATTTTGAGTTGTCAGAGTCATTTAAAACTGATATATTGTATTAAGAGTTGCACCCTTATTGTTGGCACATTCATTGTTTCTATTGAACATCATAGTAAGTTAGTCCATAATTTGTCTATTATTTGACATGTGTTTCTCCTTTTTAAAATCTTATGTACTGGCACATTTTTGGGGAATTCGGTGGGATTTTGTATGAACTCTAGATCTTCTTTTGAAAATTTTATATCTAAACTGTCTTTGAGAACGATTCTTTTCTCTCTCTTCATTTTACACTGTCTCACATAATCGTATGTTTGATCAAATCTCCGATGTTTTAATGTCTCAATTATGACTGCAAATATTTGGCCAATATGTAATAGAAAAAATAAGGGTACATTTTATTCGTGTTTAAAGATATCGCCTTTATCACCCGAAAGTTGTATTCAGTTTATCCAAATAAGACAAAAACGAAGTGCGTTCTAGATTGTTTAAAAAGGTTATAGCTTTATCTAGCAATAAAACAATGTAGTCAATAGGTTCATTTTGTATTTAGATTGGTGGGAAGGTTTTGTCCTAGATTGAATTTTATCTTTGATATTTGATTTCGTATATAGTCCCCTATTTATAAAATCAGCAACATTTTTTAAAGAAGGTATTCCTTATTAGACACACATGGTTATGTAATTATTCTTCTCTCGTAATTAGGAGAAAGAGATTATTTTCGACATAAGAAAGTATATCATATTGTGAAACAAAATGTTAATATACATCGTTAGATACTTCGAACATGATATATTGTACAAGTTGACAAGAAGTAATGCTTATTATATTTTGTAATACATTATGTACACCCTTAAAGACTGTAAACACCTGTAGGTTTTAAATATAGACTATTTTAGTATGTCATATGAGGCAATATGTTTGTTATTTGACAGATCACATGATCTAATAATGCATTAAGGCTATTAAACTTTTAATATTTCGATGTTTACGTAGACACATGCTTCAGAATACGAACCCTTTTTCTAAAATAACTTTTGTAAACTGTATGTTATTGTCCATCTTTATTTTCATAAAGACCCATTTACTAACAGAATTTTCTATGATAATGAACCTTTGTGAATGTAAAAGCATCTAACTACGGTCTAGACTAATTATGAACATTATTTAAAGTCCATACTTAAATTTAAGAAACCAATTTCTAATTCACCTGACCTTAAACTATTATCGCCGCACGATAACTTTATCGATAGTAGAAATACGAGGAAGAAATTTCATTTCATTTTATAGAGTAAAAGCGGACACCTATGTGAAAAGTTTGAATTAATTTTGTTTACTAGAGCATGTAAAGAATATTATAAGTTAGCTTAAAAAACTATTCGCTTAGTTAAATACCGATCTTTGTTTTTAGGTGTTAGTGTTCCATTGACGCAACATAAATATCAATACGAAGTTTTCGTAAATGATATTAATTACTGCTTAAAGGAACTAGTTACTAGATTTCTGGAGATACAGGCATAGACATCACATAAAATGCTAGTTTTCTGATAAACGATTAGTAAATAAATAAATTAACAAATAAATTAGGAAATCTTTCGAAATTGCTTCAATATGGGCAAATTAGCAATCTCAGCAGCTATTGGTGTTGCTAGTACATGCGTATTTATAGCTGGATATTTATTTGCGGGTGTGTTCGGTGCTGTTGTAGCCTTGTTTGTGTTGTTTCTGTACCCGGAGAAAAGTGTTCAAGTGGATGTTACAAATAAAGCTGTATTTATAACAGGTAAAATATCTGAATTTATTTCATTACAATTGTAATCTTTTAGATGCGAGTAGAGAAAGCTTTTTTTTTTATTGTACACCAATATGAATACATGTACTTATATGCATACAAGCTCATGTAAAATGCATTATCAAATATAAATATTTCAATCATAAATCGTTGTTCATTGCATTTAAAACTAGGACAATGACTTTTCAAGCAGTGCACCTGCACTTGAATAAGCATCACCAAATAATCGTCAAAGCGCTCAAAGTTTTTTTTTGACTGTTCTGACCGGTGATAGGGAGGGGGTGGTATGGGGAATTCTATATTCACTGTTCATAACTCGACTCGATTAGTGATAAGATAAAGAATGTAAACAGTCTGGGTCCTTAAAATATGTATCGAACATTCTTTAATGTGCGTATCTATCTGTACATTTAAGTTTTAATTTCACGAAAGGTAAGACATTTAATTGACTGAGACTTTTTATAGCTACAGTTTATAGGTCTTTAAAGACTTCGTTAAAAATTAGGTTGACATTTATTGTCGATCTACCTTAACGCTTTTTGTTGAACTCCATATGTTCAAAATAAGAGTCGGTCATGCATCAAGAGAACCAAAATACTGTACATGTATTAATTTAACTATCTCAATATACATCTATCTAATTTTACATAACTATTTACCCGTTTGTTGTATCATATTTTGTTATAAAATTATACAATGTTTTATAACTTCTTTTCAAATGGTATCGAATTGCAAATAAATATTAACCCGTCTGTTGTATCAAATTTACTATAAAATTATACAATTTTGTATAACAACTTTCAAAAGGTATTGTATTGCAAAGGTATGTACATCAAATTTAAGTTTTTGCATTATAATGAACATTCATTGACATGATTTAAACTGCGCCTAGTAAACATAGATAATAAACACAACCCTAACCTTTCATTTGCACTGCAATCTAAGCTGTGTTCTTTTTGGTTATTGCAATACATCGATTTCATTAAATATTTGTAAAATACCCGAACAAATGTTTCTATACCTTGGTCCTATTTTCTGCCACATTTTTTTAGCGGTTTTAACAGTATTTTAAGATTGTTTTATATGTTTTTTTTTAAATTTATGATCATTTTCTTAGTCTCTCATAACTTTTTAGAGTGGTTTTGTACAAGTATTTCTTTTATAACCTTGTTATATTTTGTCTATGTATGTACATGCACAAGTGAGACTTAAATTAACAATTTGTCTTGTTTTGTCGTACATTATCGAGTAATTGTAGTTATCTGACAGTAGATAAATCCTAATCAAATTTGTAATTCATACATACACATTTTTATCATCTTTAGTTAAATGATAGGTTGTATCAATTTTAAATGTTTTCTTGAATATCAGTAAGTTTGCAGTACTTTTGTAACATATCTTGTGTGTTATGGTTTGGTTTTAACTACGGTGTATGATTTGCACTTTCAAGTGTTACGTTCACTTTCGGTAGAGGACTGTTTGCGTTTTGAATTGAAACTGTTTTGTATATCAATGTTTGTATATAAATCGTAGTATGTGATAAATACGTTCCTCCATAAAGACCGTTTTTATATATGATATAATAATATATATACAGTACACTAGCTGTAAAAGAAACGAGCAAACTTACAATCATTTAAACGATAAATAGACAGAGAACATCGAAGAAGAATTTAACGTCCTTCGCAAGTTAAATGTTACTCTCTTTAAATTAATTTTGTTCGTTGAAGTATTATCGGAATACAAACTAAACTGATGGATAAAGAAGATTTTTCACGGATAAATATTTGTTAACCTTGATCTTATTTTCTCATTGATGGTTTAATACGGATACAATATAGAGATATATCGCATTTTGAAAATGTTTGCATAAGCTTAACACATCTGTGCAAAGTCAGCAATATTGAATAAGATATTTAGTTTTCTATGAAACTTTAAGTTAATCCGTTCATTAAATTACATTATCAAAATTCAAATAATCTGTACACGTTTTACTTTTAAAATTTGATTTGATAAAATGGATAAAGTTATAATAGTAACAGCTGTGGGAATTTTGAGCGTTTGTGTGTTTATTGTTGGATATATATTCGCGGCCCTGTTCGGGGCCGTAGTGACTTGTATTTTGTTGTGTTTGTACCCGGAGAAAAGCGTCGAAGTGGACGCTACAAATAAAGCCGTATTTATAACAGGTAAACTTGCTTTGTCATGTGGATTAAAGCGTCAAATCTGATATTTGAAAAAATGTTTTTGTCGGTAGATAACAGTTTTTACCTGTTAATTTGAAGGAGCGATAATATATGCCTACTACCGTAAAATGTTATTTGATTGAAAGTAAATGTTTTGTCCTCTGTCCCGACAATCGCGCTATTTAGTTGTTGTTTTTGTTCATCACTATAGTCAAACAATGCCTTTAGATGCGTACAAGGCGATACCAAGTCCAAAGTAAAAATTTTAAGGTTTTATTTAAATTAACAACAATTATAGATTAAACGACTGATATGGTGTGTAGTTAAGCAGACCTGCTCCGCCACAACAAGTGTCTGTCTTGATACTAAGTAGTGGCTGTTTTATAAAGCTATTATGTTTACTATGTTATTATCTCATTCAGCTCGAGGCATGCCACCTTTGATCAGAACAAATTAACCTATTGCACAATTTATCATTGTTTGAAAAATTGGTTTAGCCAAAATAGTACAGAAATTCGGTAAGTTGCGCACAAACAGCAATAACAAAAAAAAAAGAAAAAGTGAAAAAAACAACAACAAAAAACAAGCAAATAAACAATGTAACATCAGTTTCAATAACAACAACTAACCATTTCATTTTCTTCGTCCTACCCTTCGTCTTCTTCCATCTTCTACATCTTTATCATCAACATCATTTTCGTCATCAACGTCATCATCATCATCATCATCATCATCGTCATCCTCATCAATTACAATTACAACAACAATAACCGTCTCATTTTCTTTTACTTACTTTTCTTCGTTTTTTCATCTTCTTCTTCATCATCATCATCATCATCATTAACATCATCGTCGTCTTCGTTGAATTAAATTTAACAGTTAATGAATACGCATACTATAAATCATCTTCACTATCACGACATTTAAGGTATGAAATATTACTATAAAACATTTACCAAAAACATAATCTGTACGTCCTACTATAATTTTTTGATATATCAAAATCACATCAAAATCACGCTGTTAATTAATGAAAGTCACACGGTTAAATTACATCAGGGTATATCATGGTATAATGATGATATGGTATACTATGTTGATGAAACTAGAACTTGAAAATGTAAAAAAAACTTAATCATACAGTTATGCATATCATATGTAATTCGAAATGAAAAAATTAAATGATGTATATAAACTGGAACTAAATGGTGAAATTATGGGTGATATAATCGTATTTTCCCTGGTTACTTCTAGTGAAACCAAAAACATTAAAAAATCCATTTGTCATTTCATATCGTTATTTCTGTTGCGTTTTGTATGTTTAAATCAAATTTATTTTGCTGTATCTGCTTCCTTATCGCGGAAAGAACTGTTTCATGGTTTTTGGTGGACATGATATAACATTTTTAGTTTTGCAGACGACTTCATCATTTCATCTGAAATATATGAAAATGTATTGTCATTCTGTTGTTTGTTTGTTTTGGTGTTTGCTAAATCGACACTGTATAGGTCAAATAGCGAATTATAAGCTTTACTAGTAGAGGGACACGGAAGAGCTCAGTTGTCCCTTCATGAATTATTTCAGGTTCGAGCTTGCACTTGAGTAAGACCAATGACCTGTCATAAAGATAGCTGAATCACTTCCAATTGTTGCTCATAACGCATTCTCTTTTTGGATAGGGGATGTCGTAATGTATTTTTAGGGGAAGGGGCGTGGTAAATTTATATATAAGAAACGCTGTGAAAGTTAAATGACGACTAGCTAAAATGTTCTTGCACCAAACCCCTGATAAGCTGTACAATTCTAGGATATTGCGCATGTTTGCGGTAATTTGACTCTTTCCATTTATCCATATAATGATAATCAGTGATGCAGAATTTATTGCATATCAACAATAAATGCATCTAATGTTCCATATTTTAATGGCTTAAAACGAGATATCGACTAGATAGATAATATATTGGCCTGTTGGGAAAAATGAATTTAATAAATGAGAGAGTGAAAAAGGCTTTATCCTGCGGTGATCTCATTATTAAAAGAAAATCAATGTATTTAATCTAGGTTAATGAATATAATTAATTAAAACTGTATTAATTAAAGTTGATGAGACATCTCAATCATATATTTACTGATTTAAATATCATATTATATGAACCACCACGTATAACCGGTTACACAGAAATGCGGTTTAAAAGAAGTTATATTTTCTATCCTTGAACCTCGTTTAGCACAACATTTATAAGTGTTTATTAGTGAGATTTTGAATTCCTTCTATTTGAACTTTTCCGAGTTGAAAACTGTATAAACACCGTAAGGTCGTGTTCATGTTGCCAACTTTTTAAATTTATCTTTTGACGTCTTGTCTGGCATATGCAAGCTTCGTTACCTCTAAACTGCCTTTTAAAATTCATTTCATTTGATTCAGTTCTGTCCATTGCTTTCTTGTAAAGAGCAAACGCACTTTGTACCATACGCTGCTTTTCCTGAAATGGCGCAAATGTGTTACGATGAATGTTGAATGATTATCGTCTTATGGGCACAGTTACGGATGTTTCTAATTCAATATTCATGTTTAAATGTTAAATTCTCCTTAAGCCGGTGCTAGAGGTCGGAAAGGTTGCTAACAATTACCACTACCATCCATAAACATGCTCTATTAAACCGAGCCTAAACCGAGCCTATGTTTACACCTTCATGAAATGGAAAAATGAATTTTAAAATTGATAACCCTTTACCTCATATATACACGAAACAACGCACTTTCGATCGACCCCCCCCCCCTCTTTTAGGCCTCAAATAGTGAAAAAATGTCCTGTCTGGGCGCCAAACACATCTTTTCATTTGAGACATGTTGATAAAAAAGAGACCTTTTTTTCGGCGCGGCCCCCCAACCAAAAGATACATCAGGAGGTTGCCAGAAGGGGGATGTGCACCCTTCTGTTTGGGGGCGGGGTAAAGGGGGCGATAGTCCCCCTCATCGCTAAGAAAATTTTGGACCTGTGAGAGGCTAAAAATGACCCCAGATCGATCATAGGTAACGTGTAACCAACGCTGAAAAGCATTTGACTTTATCTCAATCCATTGAGAAGTTGCAGCACTTTGAAATTAATTTTGATGAAAAAAAATCAACGCAAAATAGTGATTTTTGGCAATTTTGAGATGTCCCCTCGTTGCCATGGTAACAGGAAATTTAAGCCTGAGCATGTTGTTACCAAGGCAATGGTCCAGTCAACATTTTTGCCAAGTTTGATTAGTATTGAAGCAGTTTTTATAGTTTTATAGCAATTTGAACTTGTAACGGGAGACTTTTCAATGAAAGCAGCCATTTTTCACAAAATGCTCATGAAGTTTTTTGATAAAGTGTTTTTTGTTTTTTTTTTTTACAAGAAACCTGTACCACTATTTTTACTACGAAGACTTTAGTGTTCAATCTCTTTCCCTTTTATGAAAAGTTATAATTTATACTTCGGGGAGATGTTTACTTAAAATCTTGAAAATTTCCTGGCCTTCATAATCCAATCAAAACATAAAGATGCTTGTTTTGGGGGGATTTTTTCCACCATTAAGATATGATTTATGCAATTTCTACTTATTTAGAATAAATTAAGTTTGAATGATAATACATTAATAGTTTCAAATTTTATGAATATCCAATAAATCAGTAAATATCATATCCGTATAGCATACAAATGCGTTTAGTTATAGGCTGTTTGGCGGGGGTCTTTATACTTGAATTTAAATCAAAGTATTTGAATGGGAATACAAATTGGAAATTTAAAGTTGAAAGTGTCCGTCCATTTAAAGAAACGTCTAATTACACGGCATATTTTAATGCATGGGTTGGAAAATTCATATAGTATATAGGATTATGATCATGGATCGCTTAAAAACAATTTTGTTACATATTCACTGGTGAATGGCGAAAACAAACGAACTGTTGGTGAATGAAAAGTACATGTATTAAGATGCAATAAATTAAACAGCAAAGTAGTCCGTCCGCCCATCTCAATTTGAATGTTTTAACAATTATGCTACACGGTACCTAAACGGAACGTTAGGATTCAAACACATTGTTTCATAAAAGATATACTGATAAACATTCCTTAAAGTGAATGTTAAAAGTAATATTCACATTAGAAAACCAAAATGTTTCCTCTCCTCTGTCGCGGTATCTGTCTGATGGTATGATTTGTTAGCAATTGCAAGTTTAGTGGCAGCATAGCCGGTTGGTTAACGCACCGGAATAGTAATCTAATGATCGCTAGCCGCATGGATTCAAACCCTGTCAAGCAGAGTCGTTGTTTCTTTGAGCAAACAATTGTTTACTCAGTGCTCATTACGGGTTGGTTCCAGGGACGGATTCTATAGTATGTCTATAAGCTTATAACTTCACCTCATAAACATTTGAACTAAACTAAATTCTGTATAAACCAAATTTGTCGTCTGTTTTGCAGGTTGTGACAGTGGATTTGGAAACCAGATTGCTCGTAGATTGGACAAGAAGGGGTTCACAGTTTTTGCTGGTTGCCTTTTACCCGATCGTGAAGGAGCAAAACAACTAAAGGCCGAATGCTCGGACAGGTTACATATCATACATGTTGATGTGACAGATGATTGGTTAGTTCGTGGAGCCGTCAAGTATGTCAAAGAAAATCTGGGAAAAAACGGTGAAGATTGTTTCTTTAAAAAAAAGATTTTGTTTTTGTATTAACATTAGAACACATTTTGTAATGGTATTACGTGAAGGAAGATATCCGGTATACTGGTGTAATGCACAGGTTATCGGCATGGGACCAAGCCCTACCCCAAGGATTATATATTGACATGTATTTTGAATGCGTTGAAGTATACTTAGGTAGTAGAGAGGGTCCTGTTAGTTGGTACCCTTGAGGTAAGGCTTGGTCCCACGCCGATAAGCTCTAATGTCAGTGATTTTACTTTTGTACCTTCTTTTGCCTGCACTAAACTGGAGAGAGAGGCTATCGGGATTCCCTCCACAAGTAAATCTGAATAATCGCTGTAATAGCATTTTAAGTGTTGGAATGACATGAAACACAATGCAATACATAAATGCAATGATGTTTAACAAGTTTGTATTGAGTAACTTAATTTTGATATTATATTCTATATTTAACGGAAATATCATTTCTATAGCGTAATCTTATATTTTACAGAACTGTGGGCGGTGGTTAACAATGCCGGAATTGCAATTTTCACGGAGATCGAATGGTGTTCAGTTATTCAGTTTCAGCGAATATTTGACGTCAACGTTCTTGGCGTTGTCAGGGTTACAAAAGCATTCCTGCCATTGATTAGACAAGCAAATGGTCGCATCGTAAATGTTGCAAGTCTCGCAGGTATACATTTCTCACTATGTCGTCTGCTACTCGTATTATAATGATTTAGAAATAGACAGACGATATACACATTTGTCCATCTAGAGCTAGTTTTCTTGGTCTTTTAAAGGGGTGTTTTTTTATCAAGCAAATGCCACTGATATATATATATGTATTTATATTTAACTTCCATTTCGATTAAAGATGAAGGTAAATTTCGTTTAAATATTAAAGTAAGTTTCATGTTAAGATTGAAGTAAATTTCGTTTTAATAACTTAAAGATTCTGTTTTCCAACTTACTTATAATGCATACGAAGGAAAAGGACCTGTGAAATCTGTAGGCATAATTTGAAGTAAAAGGATACTTGTTACGCGTTTCAACAGCTCTATAATTTGTTTTAATGGGCTGTTTATGTTTCACAGCATTTGTGATAGTCGAGTCTATATACCTTTTGATTAAATGGTATCAGACTGCATTGACAACACCCAAAAAAACAATAATATCAAAAGTAATTTGTTAAATCAATCAAAATGATATGGATATAAAAACACAGCAACATAATATGAAAAATAGCGTTACATTTTATAGCACATTGCAGGCTGTCCGACGTTTTCATTTAAAGATGAATTTCTCTTCAGGAAATGTATTTTTTGTGACAAGTTAGAAGATGAATATCATTTTGTTCTGGAATGTACTTTATACAGTGATTTAAGGAAACTGTTTATACCAAATTATTATGTCAATCGCCCAAATATGCAAAAATTTATTGAATTAATGAATTCAGAAAATAGACGAATTATGAAAAATCTAAGTATGTACATTGAAAAAGCTTTTTCATTAAGAGCAAGTGAGTTATATATTAATAATAATATGTTATAAGCCATATTTAAAATTATTTTATTTGTAAGTACATGTTATATGGTACTTTTTCATCAAGTGTTTTACTGTTATTCTTATCCTAGTATAATAGTCATGCATATGGTTATATATAGGTATTTCTTACTAAAAGAATAAAAATGAATCCACGTGTCACATTTTGTTACTTTCGTTTCGAACTAAATGTGACCAATGTGGAAAATAGTATGACTTTTTGCAATTATGTACAGAATACACCCATAAACAGTTTCAATATGAACTACGCAAACAACTGAGGTATATCGAATGAATAAAAAAACAGTTGTTTCCCTTATCTTCGACAATCAAATTAATCCGATTTTAAATTTATAACACCAATGAAAGCATTGGATCTTAGCTTCATTACAGTATATACTTTAACATATTTTTGGCACAATTAACTAAAACCTACCGTATGTCAGATCATTTTACATACGCTTTATACAGTGAGATACACAACCGGTTATCTACTGTGGTCTGCTATTTTGGAAAGTGCTTGTAGGTGTATTTCAAATCCGTGAGAAAATAATTGTTGTACCCTTGTTTGTTTACTTAAAATATTTATAAATTTGATACTTGTACTTGTGATGCATGTACCTTGTCGCCATATTTGTATATATGTATATGTTTTGCCACATGGGTCTAAGACCTTCTGGATGAATTATGAATAAACTTGTAAACTTGTAAACTTGTAAACTTGTAAACTTTGTTAAATCAATCAAAGTGATATGGATATAAAAACACAGCAACATAATATGAAAAATAGCGTTACATTTTATAGCACATTGCAGGCTGTCCGACGTTTTCATTTAAAGATGAATTTCTCTTCAAAATCTTCAATGCATACTAACATGAATGAGAAATGCGTTTGTTTTTCATTTTCAGGACGATTCACCATGCCAGCGTTTGCAGCATACTCCATGTCAAAGAGAGCTTGCATTGCTTTTTCAGACGCTTTGAGGATTGAGATGAAAAAATTCAATGTAAAGGTTGTGACCATAGAACCAGCGTTATACAAGTAAGTTATCTCTGCTCTTCATTTTCAAACTTCTGCATTAATTTCTTTTCTGCTTAGTTTTATGAATTAGATCTAAGTTAAAATGTATTTTTACAAAAGATGTGAATATTTTTGAGTTTTGAGATAGTTTTGATATTTGTTTTTCCTTTGAGTTTGTATACAATAAACGAGAATCTTACAAAATATGAACATAACAAAACGAGAATCTTACAAAATATGAACATAACATAATGTGTGTCCAATTGTCTTTCTAAAGAGAGCTTTAAGCTTTGGCGCGAAAAGCGATGCTTTTCAACCCTGTTCCAGTGTTCCGTAATTAAAAACTATAACTAAAACTATAAAGTTTAATTAATGCATTTATTATTGTAACACAGGAATCTTCTAAAATGTGGCTTTTATGTTTGCAATGTTGAAATTTCGAAAATATGTAGATATATTCACGTATATGAAAAAACATCATCTCGGCAATAAGCTTATATCATTATGTTAAAATCACAGTATTTGTAATAATAACGTAAGACAGGAGTTGTATAGTCCATATTATTTTTTCAAGAAAAGAAAATCCTGAAATAGATGAAAGTAGATCCAACTAAAGGTTTTCTGATACTAAACAAATTAATTTTGAATAACATTTTAATTTTTTTAATACTTATAAATTCAACGCATTGGATATTTTAGCGATTAGGCTCAGTAGATCTATATCTATTAGATTATGTTTTTTGATATCTTAAAAGTAAAATTGTTTGATTTCAGAACCCCTATATCTGAAACGGGATATCTGGAAGCACAGAACCGGAAGTCGTGGAGCGAAACTCCAACAGAAGTGAAAGAGGCCTATGGTGATGAATACTTCGATGCTTTCCTGGAAAATATTGGTACACAAATGAAACGCGCGAAATCTAACATTAACGAAGTTATAGATCTCATGGAAAACGCTGTCACGGATGTTACGCCGAAAATACGCTACGTCCCATCCAGTTCAATTATAAGGGCAACTATTTTAACATATCTCCCATCTAAGGTGACGGACAAATTGTTCCAAATCTACACACCAAAGGTTCCACCCAGACACAGCACGAGCAGCGGTGGCAGCGTCTCGGACAATGACGTCACACATTAAACAATTACGTCACACGTCGGGTCTACCTACTTTCGTTTGACAAGTAACGTTAATGAGGGTTGAATATGAATTCGTTTTAAAGATGCAATTTTAAGTTCGTGGTATGGTTGAGTTTGGAAGATATTTTGAATCCAGTTCGAGGCAAGACAATCGTGTGGGAGAGGGACTAAAATAGTTTCTGTTGTTATGTAGCGGTGTCAGTGTTTGTGTAACAGGGTCTCAGAATGTGCAAATTCATTACACTTTTGTTACGGGTTAAACATTACCACAGTCATTAGGTAAATTCAATCATTGGTCAACGGTTTTTATCCAGCCCCATTACATATTAAATATATTGTAATAATATACCCGGTTTCGTTTCGTAATGACCGTGTTGTCACTCCTTTTTTTTTTTTTCACGAAAACACATCTGCTCTCTATCTAATTCTGACATTTAGGTTCATTTCATTTATTCGTTGTTAAATGTGTATAATTATGTGTTTATATCTTAAATTTACGAATAAACTAAATACGGTGCTTGAGAACGAAAAAGAAACAGTTTTGATAAAGAAAAAAATGAAAGGAAGCGTAGCTAAAAAATCTTTAAGAATTTATTAATACAGAGAAAACTTTATTGTAATAGTCGTGTTTTTGATCTAATTCTATCAAAACTTGTTTGAATTTCAATATTGTTAACACTTCGTTATTATTAAAATGCTCTTTTTGTGAGTTATGTTTCCATGACAACAAATATCTTTTGACTGTTATATATGATGACCTTTCTCTGTTGTACAAAAAGTGTCCTTATTCAATTTCAATTGGAACCATTCGCATGTATTTTCCTGACAGAAATATATATAGGTTTACTTTGTTATGACAAAAATTATATATTTTACTTGCAATGACGTGGATTATAAATATACATTTTGAATATTTTAAAAATTGGTTTCAATATAAGAAACTTAAACCGGACACCTTATGGTATATAAGGTCAAGTCATACGGCATTTAGGTGCAGACTAGAATGATTCTATTATTGTGACAAGGTCATGCCTTAAAGGATTAATTTACACAAAGATCAGCTTTGGAAGAGAGAAATGAAAAAGATTATTAAGAAATATGTCCAGAATTAAATTTAAAATTTGCGCTTTCCGAGACCGATTTTTGTAAGAAAACGATGAAACGCTTTTCAATTTTGTATCATCATTATTAACAATTAGTATAATTATTATAGTTATTGGTCAAGAACTACATCAAACATAACATTTATCTCGAAAAATTATTTCTGGTCCCGCCGTGTAAAAAAACAAAACAAAGTGGAGTCCCTTTAATATAGATATCAATACTGTTGCAAAAAAGCGCCTTGTGCGTATGACAGGATTGACCTTGACCATATATTTTCAGACAGGATTTTAACTGGATGTAAGTCTAACGAAACGACAATTTATTTTTCATAACTCTTTAAAAAGACTCTTGCTCACACATCATCCTTTCCGCTACCTTTTTCCTATGGGTCAGTCCGTTATTTTTGTATTTTTCTTTTCATGCATAATGTTGTTTTCCAATCATTCTTATTCTTTGCATTTTTTTTTGATTATATTTAGCCTACAATAATGTATATATAAAATTCACATTTATAAATTAATAAACTTTTTTCTATGTATATATTGTTTAAGTGTGTGTTTGTTTTATTTTGATGTTTTTGCTGTTGCTGTATAGTTTTTTGTCATTTGATATGTTTTTTTACAACATGACCTGGAAGCTGCACAATAATCATTTTCAATTTTTGGATTGTGCGCAGTACTTATAATAAAAATAACCCCAAAACACACACACACACACACACACACACAACAAAAAACAAACAAACGAAAAAAAATCCTTGAAATCCTTTTTATTTGTTTGGGTCGTCAGACCAAACAAATAATGGTAGCGAAATTTCAGAGTCTAATGCTGTTAATTGCAAATGCCGAAAGAAGTCCACTCTTTTGCAGCGGTTACTTCCCTTTATATGTACACTAATGCCGAAAAATTCAGGGGAGATCACTGCGTAAAGATTGTCAAAGACAGGCACATTAATTTTCAAGCAAAATAATTAACGAATGGTCGAATATTTCTTATATTGTTTAATTGTATTTTCTGATCGAAAATAAGTAAATACAAAGCGGACATTCAATCTCTGACACAGAAGTTTACGACAAACCTAACAAGTAGTTCTCAAAACAGCTTAAAACTAGCGATTTAAAAGAAAGAAATATTTTTATTTTTGTAACAAGTATCCAACAAATTACAACGCATTCAAAGTTTAAAAATAGCGTTCGCTTATAGAATTGTCAATAAATGCACAATCACAAATTACGCGGATGAACATGATTTTATCAATGAAAATACTATTTTTAGCAATGTCGATTACCGAATACTACACAAACCAAGTAGTGGAATATATAGAGTCTACATGTCGGACTGTTTGGGCGAGAAGATTTGCTAAATTTTTTACTTCAATTTTAAACAACAGGTTTATCCTGAACAAAATACCTCGAAATTAATAATTAATAAGGATTACAAACCCGAAATGCAATGGAAGTTCTAAATTTAGAATGACTTGATGATATGCAGATCTTGTTTGTAGAATTTCTCCGTGGTGCAGGGGTAACTCGCTTGCTTCGTGTAGAGGTCTGGAGTTCAAATCCCAGTCTAGGAAACTTTTTTTTTAAATTCTTTTTTAAGTTTGTTTTGTTTGTTTGTTTCATTTTACGCCTATCAAAGCATCTCCCGGGGGATCGAACCCACGCCAGAGAGGTAACTGGATTAGAAGTCATCGACTCTAACCCCTCGACCACGGAGGCGGTCTCTTCTTTTTTTAAATGTCTTTGTTAAGTGTCTTTGTTAAAGAAGTAGCCATGATATGCAAGGATAAAGTGTGGCTGCCGTAAAAAATGAACATAAATGATTTTTTGATGCAAATCTAGTTATGCAGAATTCCGTATGTACCAAACTCTGGTGCCTTGCAAAATGAATTATAAAACATACAGATATACAGTACGATTTAGATTGCAAAGATCAGAAAATACCACAGAACTTGCAGCCCTTTGATTCTTTATACATATACATGCTTATAGTAAGCTCCAGGATTATTTACATCTGTGTTAAACAACAGTTAAAGTCGTTACAAGCCCTAATTTAGAATAATATGGTTTTCTTCAGGCCGTTCACATATAAATTCACCGTGGCTGAAGGGTTTTTCGCGCTCGCTTAGGAAGCGAGAGGTCTGGAGTTCAAATCCCAGTAAAGGCAACTCTTTTTTTTCAAATGGTTTAAGTCAAATAAACGTTGGATTGAATATCAGTGTTGCAATTAGTCTTATAGCCAATTTACTACAATTAAAACGCTGGAAAGCATTGGTAGCACTTTACATATAATCTCACAACCTGTACCTTTCTTACATTCTGAGACCCAAACAAATTCAGCGCCTTCTGTGCTTTGATTAAGTAATCCTGCGGAAATCAATAATTTCCAAAAAAAAGGTTAGCGAAACTCGAACTTGACCAGGGTCCTGATACCACATACTTACGTGCCAAATATAAAAACGATCATTGGAATCCTTCAAAAGTTATGTTGCGGAAATCAATAATTTCACAGGAAAAAAAATCAGTTAAAAAGGGGGATATTATTCTGTCAATCATAAGTAAATGGCGGGAAAACTCGAAGGCGACCCGTGTTTTAAAATAACATACTTGCATGCTAAATATAAACGCAGTCAATGAAGTCATTTAAAAGTTATGTTGCGAAACCCAATAATTTGACACGAAAAAAATCAGTTAAAAAGGGGGTATAATGATCTGTGTTTTAATAAAACATGCTTACATGCCAAACTTAAACCCAACCGCCTCCGTGGTCAAGGGGTTAGAGTCGTTGACTTCTATTCCAGTTACCTCTCTGGAGTGGGTTCGATCCCCTGGAGATGCTTTGGTAGTTTAGCGCGGAGGGAGGTAGTCTAGTACTGGTGTAACTCTCCAGGAACGATGCTTAGGAAACTACCCGCCTATATGACTGAAATACTGTTGAGAAAAGGCGTAAAATGAAACAAACAAACAAACATAAACACAGTTATTGAAATTCTTCAAAAGTTATGTTGTGTAAACCAATGTATAGATGCCTACATGACCCTAATCTGTCCGATTTGAATTGTCACATTAGGGGAAACAATATGAATTTCACAACAACGTATTTGTAGTTGCGGCTATGCAAATAAAATGTCAGAAGAGAGATCTATCAGGTGTCTACGGACGAATGGACGGACGGTCAATGCCATTCCATAATACGTCCTGAAATTTCTTAGGGTGTATCAAATGAAATATTTCAATAAGTCTGTATGATAATCACATGGATATTAACATTTTAAAAACAATATGTCATATCTGTGATTAGCAGAAAATTTCAATGTAAAGAGGGGTAATTATTATTATTATTATTATTATTATTATTATTATATACCACATTTCTATAGCACTCTTTTCATAAATAACAAATGTTCAAGAGTGCTTTACATAAATCCGATAAAACATAATCATATATATAAGACATAATGTACAACATTAAAAAAGTAAACCTATTAAACAATAATGATAATCTAAAACCAGTAAAGGATGGTAAGAAATACAGACACATTTAGTTTAAAATCAAGGCTCAATTAAAATTAACATTGATAATATAGCAAAAGTAGTACATGTACTCGTATGATGATTTATGAACTAACGTCCATAGAACTTTATGAAATAATGTGTTTTGAGAGCTCTCTTAAAACATGGCAAGGTATTACAGTATCTAATGTCAGGTGGTAACGCGTTCCATAATTTCGCTGCGGCTGTCTGGAAGCACCTTTTTGAATACATTTTGAAGAAAAAAATGGTTGGCTAGATCATTTTAAGCGTTTCATTCTCTTAGAAAATTCACATCTTTAGTATGAAATAGAGAAAATAAGAATCCGCAAAGAATGTCCAAAACAACAAAATTGAAAATGTTGCAGGCTCGGCTTGATTGAACCTGTTCTCAGGTACAAACTACCGTCCACGCCCCTAGTACCGGCTTAACCAGAATTCAACATTTAAACATGCCAATTTTCAATTTAGAAACATCCGCAGTTGTTATCATGGAACTTTCAATGCGACACTTTCGTGCCATTCCACGAAAAGCGGCGTATTGTCCCCAAGTAATAGGAGGCATGTGCCATTTCTCACAATGTAGGTCTACATAAAAATCAATACTATAGCCTGATGTAAACTAATTGAAAGGTTTTTGAGACATAAAAATGAAAGCATTTCTGAGGCATAATGGGCCTTTAAACAGTTCGGCGACTTATCATAAGATAAATATAAGAGAAGATAAATAAGATAAATTTTGTTGGTCCTTTAGTCATACGATTAAGTACAGATCATGTGGCGACATTCCAGCTATACTGCCGGGGGAAGACCTTCCGATGCCCCAACGTACTTTATTTCAGGCACGAACAGGCACCTGAGTAGAACACTGGCGTCCCGTAAGCTAGCTAGATAGCTTTCTCACATAAAAGAATCCAAAGTCTCTGATGTGATTCGAACCTAAAGTGACCAGGGACAAGTGGTTTGAAGACAACGACGTTAAACATTCAGTAACGAGCCCATCAATGAAACATAAATGAGATGATGATAATGATGATGATGACGCTGATGGTGGTAGTGATGATGATGATGGTGATGATGATGATGATGAATATTGTTGTTGTTCCGGTTTCTACAAACGTCATAATAAGTTTATAAATAGTGTTCTGTTTACTTGTACTTTTATATCTATAATTAACCTCATTTGGGTGAACTTTTACTTGATATATTAAAATAAAATTTGTCAACAACTCCCAGCAAAACTTACTATTTGTTTACATGTTTAGTTTCTTAGCGAAGGTAAGACCGAAATACCGTATCCGTTCTGTGTATACCAAGGTCCTTATGAAAGGGCCGAAAAGTTGCGGTTGAAAAAATCGGCGTCGCCCTGTAATGTATGACAAGAATCTGTCATGAAAAGCAAATACTCAATTAATTTACTGTAATATAAACATACTGCAGGGATATTTTCTAAGTATAAGTGTTTTAACTACCAATTTTGTACAAACAAATCTCATTAAGATACCAACTTAATATCTTATTTATAAACGCAACTTTGCATAAACACAACTTCGCACACCGGTGATTTTATAAAGGTTATGATGTAGGTGTCCGTGATATCTTTATGTATACAAGACAGGTTAAAATACAGGTCACAGGCAACAAGTTAAAATCAAGGACTCAAGCCAATAGTTTGTATAAAATACCGAGCTCTGACGATTGATAAATCATTTTAAACAAGTGTCGTAGCAGCGTTTATATTGAAAAAAAAAATCATGGATTTAACAATCGTGATTGTTTTCATTTTTGCCTTTCTTGTGTCAGTTCTTTTCCTCAGAAGACCAAAGAATTTACCGCCAGGATATTCCGGAATCCCGTACATTGGATCTGTGCAAATGATGCTTAAGTTACGTGGTAAAAGACCTCATATTGCACTACATGAAGAGTCGGAAAGACATGGCAACATATTCCGGTGGTATTTGGGCAACCAAATGATCGTTGTTTTAAGTGGGTATGACATTATACACGAGGCTCTTGTGAAGAAAGCCGATACATTTAGCGACAGGATTCTATTTAACAGAAATCCACTATTCCCGAGAACGGAAGGTGAACATGGTATGATGTTTTTTTATTGTTTTTTTTAATCTTGCATGGATAATCTCATTTATTTACAAAATCGCTTTGCTTAAACGAAAATAAATTATTTATCACCTAATAAGAGTTATGAAACCTTCAGTCTTGGAGAAAATAAACAACAACAGTACAGGAGGACAAAAGTCTTCGCATTGTTTCAATATTGTTGTATACAAATCATTACAAATAATAAACGATGTTTTCATTAAAATGCAAAGTCCTCGGGTGGCGATTCTACCCGCCTTTCAATAATGTATTCATATCACGGCCGGCGAGCACGAACTATTCATGCTAAGTATGTTTTACCTCACTTAACCGGACAACTATAACTCTTAACCTGAAATAAATACATTCAGACATTTATTTGATTGCTTTATCGGCCGCGCGGTTGGTCGAAAATTCTAATCCGTCTTGGTTGCACTTCGCGCTAGTTGTATCAATATAAAACTTAAAATTACACTAAATGTTGCTATGCAAGTACTTGTCAATATTCGATCGTTTTAATGGTTTAAACACCTATTGTAACTTATCACATCCAATGTCAGCTCAGAGTTTTCAATCCCCGTAAATAGTATACAATGATTGACTGATGAGTCATTGAATATGATGTGATATTCAACGCAAATGACATATTGATCAAGGCTTACTAGTCAATAATTGTTTAATTATATGAATATTATTATTACTTTATAAATATGAAGATTAAAAAAAAGGAAAAAAAATCACAAAAAGTACTGCATTTTACAACTTTTGCCTAGTTATTGAAACACCGAAAAAAGACACACGTAAGCAAGATGACGTTAGGCGTTCAATGACTACGCGAACGCAAAAATCCAATTCAGCTAGTGAATATGACTCTAAAAATTGTTCTGTTTGATTTCTGTTTGGACCAATGGGATTTCAGCTAGATTTAGATGTTTTACTTACTTATCCAACCCAGAAGACTCAGTTCATTCACGATCATTGATAATGTACATTTGCAGGGATTTTGACAGGGCAATACGATCAAATTTGGAGGGAGTTACGGCGCTTCACGCTTCAAGCTCTTAGAGATTTTGGAGTAGGGAAAGCTTCAATTGAAGAGAAGATAGCTGTAGAAATAGAGACAGCAACCGAATACCTTGAAGGCAGGAACGGAAAACCTACATCAATGAATGATTTAATGCAGCAGGTGGTAGCAAACGTTATATTTGGAATCATCTTTTGTAAAAGGTAGGTCATGTCCACCGTTTACTTCAGCCTTGAAATGATTAGCAATGTTTCCAGAACTAGCACTAGCAAACCAGTAATTCATTCTTAAATCTTTAAAATGTCCCGGTTAACTCAATTAATTCAGTTTTTAGCCGGGTTGTACAAGTGCAAACACGGGTTATATTATGGTAAATGTCGGGCGGCGGGTGGGCGGGGAAAATTTTTCGCAACAGTTTTCTCAGCAAATACTTACTTGATTTTGGAATACAGCATTAACATGTTGTACCATACCGTGGGATTCGATTTCAGGTCTGTCGCTTATCCACTTCCTGTTTAACGACTTAGATAAATTTTGGACATTAAAGGTCGGAAGTGTTAACCAAAACTGTATTCTGAGGATTAAAAGATAAAGCAAAATCTTATCATTCCATATATTAAATCTTTAACCTACGAAAATTTCTAATATGGCTTCAAATTAAAGAGCCGTTGGAGAAATCATGATGAAAATATTAGTCAGCCAACATTATAGAGCCTGGCAAGACTTCACAGATATGCAGTTAACCAGGATTAATACTGCTGTCAAAGGATAATCACTTAATGCTGCAGCAGAATTAAAAGTTAATATGAATTATATTAGCAATGTAAACTGCTAGATTTATATTTGAAGTCATAAAAGCTACAATCATATAAATAAATGAAAAACCTTCTTAAATTATAAATATAGTAAGTTACTGTTCATTGAAAACGTATACGTGATTTGTATGTTGACGTCATGTCATTTTATTTTGAACGCAACGGTATTATTATCATTATTATAATCACCCCCCTTGTGGATGAGCGGTTGCCTTTAAGGTTTGAAGCAGAAGAATTGCAGCCACGATGCATGATCGTTAGAGGTTCGAATAATTGGAGTCTATGAATCTCTCAGCTCCAGGAGGTGACTGTGACCCCCTGTTGTCGTTTTAAGTTTGTAACACCCGAGGTTAGCCCAAACCATCCTCCCTGTTACGGCGCCATATGAACCAAATTATGTTAGTGCTCCGTTAATTCAAACAAAGCAAATTAAAAATTATTTGATCATATATAATAATAACATTTTTCTGTGTCTCAGATATGAGTATGACGATCCGGAATTCGATAAAACTCGAAAAATGACAAACAATGTTGTAACCGGTTCAGGTCCCGTCAGCCCATCTTTGTTTATGCCAAAAATTCTTGCCAGGTTGCTGAATCCGAAGGTAAGTCTTCTGTTCAAAATAAATTGGAGAGTGTGTCATCCGCTTAACCGGAAAGCGAATAGTTTCTTGAAATTAATTCAATTGTAAGATATGTTGTCTGTTAGTTTGCTTAACCACTATCTTAAACATCTTTTGCATAATTTCCCGTTTTAAAGGGCCAAGTTGATCTATGCAAGAGTTTCAATGTTCATGTTTAAGGGTTTTGAACATCTTTGGAGCTCATTTAATTAAAGCAATGCCTAATTCTAATATTCAATTTAGTTATTTTGAAGCCAGAGAACGACCAATACTATTAAATAAATTTGGATCTTTGCTATTACAAATGATTGATATATTTCGTTTCATTTTCAAATTAGGATTCTGAGATCACCGCGAGCCGGCGACAAAGCATCTTGAAGATGCGTGACTATGTATTTGAACAAATAGAAGAACACGAGACTACCTTTGACAAAGACAACATCCGGGACTTTATTGATATCTATATCCAGACTAAGACTGAAGGGGACGAAAGCATACGGAAATTTGTAACAAGTAATTTTTAAAATAGTTTTTTTTCTTCAAAACATAGAATACGAAAGTTTGTTTGTTTGATTTTTACTTTTACGCATTTGCGGTCATATATCGTCGGTCGGTCCAGCGAACCAGCTTTCTAGCATAGCTTACCATTAAAAAGACAACTTTTTCTGCAAGTGACCGCCGCTGAACCGCCGGGAAAGTTCAATATAAGTCTACAGAGATTCTGAAACACAAACTATCTGCAGAAACATCTTGGAGTTTTGAATAGTTATATTGATCTCCAGTCGAACCACCACTGCTGTCACTTACAGTTTAATATCATATTTAATATTCATGGCACTACAGCAGGTCGATCTGGAATCATCAATTCTAGCATGGTGTATCATTTCTCCTTGTTCTTCTTTATGTACGTTACCGTTGAATGCAATATTAATTTATTAGTTTTCTTTTAATAGTCATCAATGACACCGTGATCATTTGATATTTATAAATTATGATTGTACATAGGTTCAATTCTGCTTTAATGAAACTGATTTATTCCTCGTCATGATGATAATTAAGTCTTCTCAACAGCAAATATTATGTGCTATATACAGCTGAATCACTTATTGCAACTTAGTGTTGTTATATTTTTTGGATACTGCTTTACTCGGTACCAGAGGGTGTCCATGATTATTCATTTTATATCATCTCTTGTTAACTAACTACTTCAAACTGAGTCTGCTATTTTACTCTTTTAAAATGTTTTCTTTGCTCTAGATTCTAGAAGGATTATCACCTTGTCCAGATTTTCATACTGTGACAGTTTTAAAAAGTTGCCTTTTTTTCCCCGGCACTTCGTGATCATCAACTTCTTTATTGCGTTGTAGAATGAATCCAAATTCAGTCGGTTCTAGGGGGCTTGAAATATGTTGCATCTTGTATCATCTCTCATGAACAGACTCAATAAAACCGAGTCTGTGATTTTCACCTTTATAATTTTGTGTTATTTTAATTGCCCTAGATGAATATCCCCTTTATCAAACTGTATCTTTCTTTTTTTAGATTATATTCTACAACATACTTCATTCTCCAATGTCTTCTTTTATCAATTAAAATATTTTAATTTCAACTAATTATTTGTTTCCAATGCATGCTCGTCTTATAACTTTTGAATGCGTTGTTTGATATTTACGAATATATTTTATACAAGTGCTATCCATCTTTTCTATTTCATCACTCAGTCTAATGCTAATATCTTGCTTAACACAAATTTTACATCCTACAATTGTTTTCTCTTCTTTTTCAGAGGGAAACATGTTCCGCGTGATTTTTGACCTGTTTTTGGCAGGATCTGAAACTACGTCAACAACATTAGATTGGGCGTTTCTATTTATGACAGAATTGCCGGAAGTGCAGAAAAAATGTCAGGATGAGATTGATAAAGTAAGCCCCTTAGAATAAAGCAATGCATTGATAATACGTAGTTGAAAATATATTTTGCCAGAGGTATCATGCAAGATTTTAATGCTCCGTTTCTGTTCGGTTAGGTGCCCTACCGGTTCCATGTTTACTGGCCTGTGTTCCTGGATATTGTCTATGGAAGGGTTCCGTAAACGTTCCTCTCCTTTGTTTATGAATTTTTATTTTGTCAATGTGTTTCCACTGTAAAGTTGCTTCGCAAGCAAAACCTTATAACCATCCATTTCTTTCCATTTAAATTTTTTAGTGCCTTGATAGCTTGCTCTTTCTACCGGATATTGATTTTACTCTATATTTTGGAATGTCTTTCACGATTCTTTTGTTAAAAGAACATTTTTACAATACAATATTTTTACTGCATAAATTGTAATGCTTAGATCTTTAAGCACTGTTCACTTTTTTACATATGTGTAACATTTTTTAGGTACTCGGTGACAAGGTCATAGAATATTCCGATCGTACTAAGCTTACATATGTAAATGCCGTCATTATGGAAATTCAGAGATGTGCGAATATAGGTATGTATACCGCATTGAAACTTTGGGTTACTGTCCAACCATATCACATCCTTTAGGCGTCTTCTGCATTTTCTTCGAAACTCTTCTAGGTGTTGTATGGTTGGTCTGTATGGATGAATTAGATCTGATCTATTTTACTTTGACAAATGGGCCTAGGAAGATCTGCAAATTTTAAAATAAATTCGGAGATTGAATAAAGTATATGTTATAAAGTAATTGTCATATGACGTGAGGTGTTTATGCACGCTTACAAAATTATAAAAAAGCCCTGATTTCGCTGACAAGAACGATTGCAACAAACAGACTAAAGGTGACCAATTTATGTATCAGATGCAACCAACCTTCACCAAATTAGTTAACCTGGTGTATGTTCCCTGCATCATAAAATCTTAACACTCTTCTAAACAACCGTTAAAGGGATCAATCTAGAGGATTCTGTACCAGAGTACTCTTTTTCCACTACCATTGTCTGATATTCATTTTTATAGAATGTGTTTTACATAATTATAATTAATTAAATGTTTTTTTCAGTGCCATTGAACGTTGCGCACTCTACCACCGCAGACACGTCTGTTGGAGGATACAATATTCCCGCCAAGACACTGATTATACCTTCACTCTACTCTGTTCATATGGATACAAAGTATTTCTCCAATCCAGAAAAATTCGATCCCGACAGATTTCTAGATGGACAGGGTAATCTGTTAAAGAACGAAGCTCTTCTGCCATTTTCAACAGGTGTGGTTTATTTAATATTTGGACTTGGTCATGTTCCAAATTATCTATTTGTTTTAAAGCAATTGACGTTTAAGTGTCAAAAGACAAAATAAGTCTAAGAAATGCTATCAGTTTTACTTGCCTTTTATTTTTGTCGTCCTGTTATAGTTACACATTGTCCATTGACATCTTTCTCGTCTGCTGCGTATAGCAATGAATACAGTTAAAATATTGTAGTTTTTGCATGGAAGTCAAAATACTTTCTTGTTTACATTTTGCTAGCTTTACGACAAATTATTTTTCATTCAGCACTATTTCTTTCAGTGATAAGTATTTCACATGTTGCTAAATCCATTTATACAACATTTTAAAACCTATTATTACAACATTTTATGACACTTACTTGTCCTTTCTGCACAGGAATTTGTTTTTCATTTCTGAGACAGAATGTGACTAAATAAGTAGCAGAAATATACCACCATACACATTTATAGGAATACAATGAAGTTATTATACAGTACTGCTGACACGTTTCTCATTTTCTTTTTCATTTAGGACCTCGAACATGCCTAGGAGAACCATTGGCAAGAATGGAGCTATTCTTAGTGTTTGTTTACCTGATCAAGAGATTTAACTTTGCTAGAGAAGATCCAAACAAGCCGCACACACTGGAATCCAAACAGTCACAGGTTACAAACGCTCCGTTACCGTATAAGTTACGGGCTACCAAAAGAAACTGACAATTTTAATCAAATGATGTCGATAAACACATCTTCATACGGAAGTGTTTACCAAGTAAAAACTGCTGAACTTCAAATATTCAATCACGATTACTTACCTACATATGTTATCAACGATTTCCTAAGGCTTAAGGATCATTAAACATAAAATTAATTCAATTGAGACCAATTGTTGCTTTTCTCGACATAAGAATGAAACAAAACTTGACTATGTTAATAATGTTTTTGTGTGCCTTAAAAACATATCAGGAAAATGACACTTAAAGCATAATATGATTGTATTTTGAGTATTGGTTATCTCTGACTAGCTGTAGCTTAAATCGATTTCTTGATTTCTTTTATAGACATTTGTAGCCCTTTATTTCATTATGATTATTGTTTAATATGTAAAGAGTGTCAGCGCTATGCAATGAAAATTGTAAATACAGAATAACATTATCATCAAAATCAACTCTGAAAAAACGTCAAATTTGCTTAGGTGCTTCAATTAACTCTAAGCCTGCTGGCGATTACAGAATCTAACCATGCGACAAATGTATCCATGCCGTCTAAACTATACTCCATAAAGAACAAACAACTTATTGCATGACCAGACAGAATATTTATTGCAAAAAAGATACTGAGCAGCCGAGAACAAACATTAATACACAAACATTGTTATAATAATAAAAACATCATGAAGAACATATAAAGAACATGTATAACAGAATTTTGCTAAAAAAATACGAGAGTAAATTTTTGAAACTAACATTGCTGCACATTTTGTATTATTCTTATTATTGTATTGTTTATGTATTTACTTTTAAACTTAACAATAGAACAATATAGTGTTGAACAATTTCAGTATCTAAAATAATGAAACGTAGAAAGTACAGGCAAAAAATTGAATTATTTACGTCATTATTATAATAGCTTAAACGCATTTCGACTCGGCCAGGAAAAAAGGAGATATTTCTTCTAATAGTTATTTAAAAAAAAATGATCTGGAAAGCTGTGTCCGTTTGCCAATGTCGAATAACTAAATGTTGGACCTCATTCTAGCCGAGTCGGATGACAATAAGTGACTAAATTAAAAAAAATATTATAATTGTGTTTTGTTGCATGAATTGAAATTGAATTTTAATAAAATGTCTTTTGTTATTATTTTTTAGTAAGTCTAGACTATGTGCAATGCAAATGTGATCTTATATACGAAGGTCATTCAATAAATAATGCAACTCAGCTTATATTTTTCGAAGTAAACAAACGACCACTAGGCAGACCGGTTGTACGATAATCACGCGACATCTACACTGCAGTAAACATGTTAGAAAAAAGTTTGACAATAACAGTTCTTCCCAAGTCATGGCATAAGCCCTTAATCATGTACATCGGTTCTTAAAGCGAGAAAACCCCAAAATCTTATCAGTTACCATTAATTTATCTTAATAGGAACGTTTTCATGAACTAGTAATCCCTGGCAACAAGATTTCTGCACGGAATCAAATTCTTTGAACAGCTTTGGAAGGCGATGAGAAACGAGTTCCCATGTATTAGTTCTTTACACAAAGTATCACCAGGGTTGCCTCTGAAACGGGACAACGGATGTATCCATGTACTTCCCTAAAAAGTAACAAAATAAATTAAAATAACTGATGCACTTCCGATGATCAACCCAACTGTGACAGTAAATAAACAGAAAGAAAATAAGCCTTTAACATACTAAGACTATTTTGTATCATAGTGGAGTACTATATCACCGCTGTTTCAATTAAATGTTTTATCAGTCAAACCTATATATGGTGGCAGGTAGTGTCCATTCTATAAATTTTACCGTCAGTTTATAAAATGTCGCGGGCAACTTTTAACTCCGCGAGATTTTATGTCGAAATTGTATGAATTTCGCGGCCTGTAGAAACTCTCGAGATTTTCTGTCACACGTCTGTCGTAATTTTCGGTCTAAACTAAGCCACGCAAACGTATGCCTACCTTAATTGGTGCATTCCTTATAAACGTCGAGTTGAGAAATAATCCTCGACGTTTTATGCCAAGAAATGTCTCTTTTGAATAGTCGCTGATGCAAATTGGTATCACTCTCTGCCACATTTTACGAGACCATTGTTGAGGAACAAAAAGTCGCGGCCTATAATTTTTCCCCTCGACTTTTTCTATAATTTCTACAACACTTGCAAAAAATGTCTCGAATTCCTTTCTGTTCTTCGACTTTTTATAGGAAAAAGAGGGCGTCAAACCATTAACGCTACCGGTCACTGATATTTTTACGCCCCCCCCCCCTCCGACATTTTCTACGATTTCAGCAAAAAAGTGTCGCAGGTTTGTTAATTGCCCGCGACATTTAATGATGAAACAATCAAGTGACTAATGAATTTACCTTATATAAATTGGTATATTTAGAATTTTAATGCTTTTCTTGGATAGTTCAATGTATTTAAAAAGTAACAAATAACTGCATTCATGCATTTATTATGAATAAAACGTTTGGCAAAGATCTTGTTATATTTCTCATTGACTTCAAGGAAGATGTTTCTGACAGAATATAATTAAGAAATAACATCGGCCTGAGAGGTGTATATCGGCTATTTAACACCGGTTTTGTCGTTTTGATGCGACAAAATTAACCACTCAGGCCTACGGCCTTCGTGGTCAATTCCTACGCATCAAAACTCCAAACCGGTGTTAAATAGCCGATATACACCTCTCAGGCCGATGTTATTTCGATTCTAACACGATAAAATAAGAAAAATCACTAATGTTATTTTGCAAGCGGAAATAACTTCCGGTGCCGATTTTCGTAAAACGCTGTTCGATTTTCGCACCCTACTCTTGCGAAGATATAGAAATTATTAAACAAAAGAAATAATAAGGAAAAAAAACGTTATTTTATCAAGTTTTCAACAATAAAAACTTACGTCGTATTGTGTTTACGTCAGTGCCCCATTTATCATTCTTGTATGTATGAAATAACGTCAGCTTGTTTATACTTAGGATGACGTCATTACGCTGCTTATACGGATTGGCGCCGTTTTGTCAAAATATTTATTAACTGATATGGATCTAATACGTGGCATGAGTGTATGTGATATATTATTTCGGTATTGTATGAAAAGAAAGCATTATACGAACTGAAAATATAAATAAAAATGTTTTTTATTGTTGCTTTAAAATGCTTTGTAAACTATACAATCGAGGGTGAAAACATATCAGCGCATATACAAGTAGTCCCTATCCGGTGTTTATTGTCAGTTTAACACCAGTTTTTTTCCTTCTTTGTCTATAGTGACAAAATCACGTGAGTGTTAGAATTTTAGTTTACAAATTCAAAGATATTTAAAATTAAAGTAGCGGAACATATAAATAGTAAATTATATCAATAACACAGTAATATTCACAAATGCTTTTAGAGTTTTATGTGCGAAATCACTAATATTTAATGCATTTGTGCATAAATTATTAAAATTTAATGAGAAAATTGCCATTGCATAACTTTGTAGTATGATATATGATTATTTGTATATTTGTACATTAGATACGTTTCGTAAAAATACGCAATATTATCCACTTCACACCAGACGGTGAGACCTCGGTTTTAAATCAAAGCCGTGATCAGGTATGATGTTATTGAAGCAGATGTATCTAAATATTTAATCTTTATTCATTGAGCTTTCATAGAAATATTTATGCACCATAATTTCACATAAAATATTCATTGCATATCCTCTCATTTTATTTGCAAGTACTTTTTTCTACGGCAACATTTTATTGACACTATGTGAAGAACGAACAAAAAATGTTATATCAGACCTAATAATATATTATGTGAGTATTAATTGACAAAATTGTAATAAAGGAAGGAATAGAGTATTTGTTTAATTGTTTAATTTCATAGTGGTATAGCCAGGCTTCATAACCTCTGATCCCTATTCAAAATTCCATTTTATTTAGTTCGCCCATTGTTTTCTCGTTTAGGGCAAACACGTTTTTTTACTTGGGGACCATATGCCGCTTTTCATGGAAGGGCACTAACGTGTCAAATTGAAGGTGCTATGCTAACCGCCATATGAACACATCCGTGGATGTTTCAAAATTCCAAATTTTACCAGGACGTGTTAAATGTTGAATACTGGGGGCGTGGACGGTTACTTGCACATTCCATTACCGTCCATGAACAGGCTCAATCAAACCGAGCCTGCAACATTTTCAATTTTGTCGTTTTGAACGTTCTTTAGGGACTCTTTATTTCTCTCTATTTTAACTTTCGTCAGAGATGTAGATAACATGTAGATAATATCTATGTCTCTGCTTTTGTACCTGCTATATAACTTATTGTCTTCATATATACAAAGTTACTGATATTTTTTTTGTAAAATGAACTAACTGACTCCATCTGTCAATATGTCAGGATAGTTGGTAATTTATATATACCGATTTAATAGCTTTATATTGACAAAAAATCAAAATAATTTCAATATAAATACTGCTGCACCATTGTCTTATACAAATAGCTTGTCTAAGGAAAATGGCGATTTTGCAGACATCTAATTAGCGTAAAACTGATAACGATCGCCGACTGACTTATCTGTAAGACCCCTGCCAGCTTGATTGACAGGCAACGTAATGTCAATTACGCATCACTTTCATAAAGCAATCTATAATTTATTCTAGTGTGTATCATTCTGTAATAAAAACATTATTATCCGAAATAGACACATTTTCACCAGACGAGCTTGAATAACATAGTATCCATAACGAAAGGTTTTGAAAATACATGGATATGGTGGGAAGGCCTCGCTTATTTTGATTTATTGACGTCATGTGTATTGCAATCATTCCCTTTTATGCCGTCATGCATTAATTAATTAACTAATTGTTCACTCGACTGCACTGTCTGCTTAATAGGGGAGTAATGTGAAGCGTGTTTGAATTTGTTATGACGCTGTAAGAAAGTTAGTGATAAACTTTTTGAAAAAGATCAAAGAAACTTCGCATATTTATTTTCTACATCAAGGAACGTCCTTGCATAATATTTACATGGTTCACTTCATGCCCAAAGTCGCAATTATGTGTCATTGTCTATTTGTCTTATTTTATGCCTGTTCTGTAAATCAGATATGGATTTAAAAATCCAACTTTTAGCATGCCACCAAAATGCTGATGAAACGGCGGTTAGCGTAATACTGGCGCGTCCCAATTATTTACAGCAGTGTTTTTCTGTGTATGTGGTCATCCAACCAATCAGGAACACCTAACATCCTTCTGATTGGCTCATATGGTGTGGGGTTTACAATATCGGTCATTGACACGTTACATGAAAGGTAACTGAGGTTCCGAGTAGGGAATTAAATTATGAAGAGAAGCCGATTATAAATACAAATTTATGTTTATTTAAATACTTATTTCTGTTTATCATGCGATAAAACAGTTATACTATATCGAACTCGACTATTATGTATAAATATCATGACTTGGGACGGCATCTCGTGGTTTTCTTACAGACAATGTTCTCAATTTTCGGTCTAAACTAAGCCACGCTAACGTAAGCCTACCTTAATTGGTATATTCCTTATAAAACGTCGAGTTGAGAATTAATCTTCGACGTTTTATGCCAGGAAATGTCTCTTTTGAGTCGCTGCTGCAAATTGGTATCACAGTCTGCCACATTTTACGACACCATTGTTGAGGTACAAAAAGTCGCGGCCTATAATTTTTCCCCTCGACTTTTTCTATAATTTCTAACACTTGCAAAAAATGTCTCGAATTTCTTTCTGTTCCTCGACTTTTTATAGGAAAAAGAAGGCGTCAAACCATTAACGCTATCGGCCACTGGATATTTTTACGCCCCCCACCCGACATTTTCTACGATTTCAGCAAAAAGTGTCGCAGGTTTGTTAGTTGCCCGCGACATTTAATGATGAATCAATAAAATTTCTCGCAGGTCTGAAATGGCTGCAACCGGCCACCATACCAACCGAATTTCTAATTTTTGTTGTTGCTTAACCATGCATAATTTGTAGATATCAAACATGCAATAAACATCTACTTATCAAGCCCATTTAGAAAATTACCGAACCCAGTCGATAAATATATCATTTCATGCAAGTGAGCTCGCAGTGTTTTCATCCAAAAATTATGGATTTAACAATCGCGTTTGTTTTCATTGTAGCTTTCCTTGTGTCAGCTGTTTTCCTCAGAAGACCAAAGAATTTACCGCCTGGATATTCCGGAATTCCTTACATAGGATCCGTGCAAATGTTGCTAAAGTTTCGTGGTAAAAGACCTCATATTGTTCTGGAAGAAGAGTCCAAACGGCTAGGCAACATATTCCGGTGGTATTTGGGCAATCAACTTATCGTTGTTTTAAGTGGGTATGATATTATTCACGAGGCTCTTGTAAAGAAAGCCGATACATTTAGCAACAGGATACTAGATCCAAGAGATCCAGTTTTCTCAAACGAAGGAGGAGAATCTGGTATGCATTTATAATATTTATTCATCGCTACAAATGTCATATTGACATCCCTATATATAGAAGATATTGAATGAGTGTAGTTTAATACTAAATTTATTAAACGAGTTGAATAAAATCATATTATGCGAGCCTCTGGCGAGCATAATATTGTTTTATTCAACGAGTTTAATAAATTTAGTATTGAATCTACACGAATATAATATTCTATTTATCACATATATAAAATAAGAACAGTAAACTGTTAAAATGAGTAATTTTTCAATGACGCGCCTATAGTGTAACGCTAACATTAGCGCGCTTTAACGCTATGTTTCTATATAGCGCAAATGACGTCACGTCAAAGTGTTATTACACTAGTGTAATATCGTTTTTATTAAATGGCTTTATTACACTCCTGCGACGCGTATTATGTGATAAATGCACATATGTAGTACAATCTTGTAAGTAGATAAATGTTTGAACAAGTTTGTTTGTTTAGACATCTGTTGCATATCAAATGTTTGTTACTAGTACTGAACTTAAAAATAATCCAAAAGAGAGTAATCAAACCATTGTTGCAATGATTGTCACCAATCGCATCGGCAGGTCTGGAATTTACGATTCTGTATTCCTTTTACTAAGCTGACTACAGACTCAGTACACTCACATTTATGTGTTTGTAAATGCGTAATTCCCTCTGTTTCGCTTAATTAATTAAAATAAACTAATGAATTAATCATATTTATTAATCTGAGAATAAATACATACATTTGAAACTATCTATGGAAGACGTAATAGCTAAAAAAATAGAGGAAGGGTGCCAATATTTATAATTCCATACATTTTCTTCAGATTATTTTATGTCCAGGTGATGATGTTATTTTTTTAGTTTTATGTCGCACCAACACAGCTAAGGTGATATCCAGCTTTACTCGCGGAGGAATTCCTCAGGTCCCCCTCCTTGCATTATTTCAGGCACAAGTGGGTGCCTAAGTAGAACCACCGATGTTTGTAAGTCCTTCGCGGGATTTGGATCTGCAGCATTGCGGGACATGTAACATTTGTCACTGGGCCACAGACTCCAACTATAGGTTAAATCACTAAATTTTTGATATAATGCATAGTAAAATCATAATATACCAGATTAAAGTGACGATTACTAATTTGCTTGTAATGGCAGGAATTTTGACAGGACAATACGATCAATGTTGGAAGGTGTTACGACGCTTCACGCTTCAAGCTCTTAGAGATTTTGGAGTAGGTAAAGCTTCAATTGAAGAGAAGATAGCTGTAGAAGTAGAGACAGCAACAGAATATCTGGAAGGCAGGAACGGAAAACCTACATCAATGAATGATTTAATGCAGAAGGTGGTAGCAAACGTTATATTTGAAATCATCATTTGTAAAAGGTGGGATATTTTCACTCCCTGTTTCAGACTTTGGTTGAAGAAGCAATGTTTCTGACAAATAACGAGATAGATATGTACCACCTGATTTGTTTTAAATAATATTGTTAAATCAAATAGTGCATTAAATTCAAATGCGTAGAAATAAAATCACAGGCCGACACCTGATGGATTTGAACGATAAACATTCTAATAAGAAAGAGAATTTCTAAAAATAATAATGTTGAACTACATAGTACTTTTCCTTTCGTAATTTGATTAATTGACGTCAAATTTGACGTCATATGACGTGTAAGCATTCCTTTTTATGCTGTGCATATATCGTGAAATAATGCACTAGAGTGTCCTAACTGTTTAATAGGGGAATGTGTGAAGCGTGTTAGAATGTACAATATTTTTTTTCTATTTTTCAGGTATGAATATGACGATCCGGAATTCCATAAAATTCAAGCACTGACTAACATTGTTTTAAGCGGTGCAGGTGCCGTAAGCCCATCTGCCTTTATGCCAAAATTTCTTGTCAAGTTGGTCAACCGGAAGGTATGTACGCTGTTATTTTTATTAGCCAGAACGTTTATCTTCAATTACCCAAAAGTTTGCTGTAAAAACAGATATGTCATCTGTTAATATTTTAATCGTACAACCCGAAGGTTTATCGTCTGCGTATTTACTTTACAGAAATTTATGTAAACTAATAGATTCTAATTCGCTTAACCGGGTTAATTATATGTAATATGTTTATTTGCTTTTTTGTCAACTGAACAGAAAAGATATATTTTGAATAAGAAGAACAATAAAATAGGGTAAAACAATCTGCTGGAAAAAGGTACGTCCTTCGAGAGCAATTAATACACAACCTTTATTTCAAATGAAAATTGCAGACTCGACTAGATTGAGTCTGCTCATGATAGATAAAGAGAAGTGCAACAACTCTCACGCCCCCTAGCATGTCTTAAGTAGAACTCAATTTTCAACACAATAAAGTAGTTTATTTTATGCTTTAGAGTGGGGTAGTGATTTATCCATCTGCAGCAATGAAAATAAAAGCTTTATATTAAATAGCAGACCTAATTTGGTGTGCTAATGTTTAAAATCTCCGAGTTCAAATCATCTGCCAAGTCATTATTACATGTATTAGGCCTTTTTCTGTTCTAAACCAAGATGAATCAATAAATGAAATGATCTTCAAACCCCTCTTTATATGTTCCATGTAGTGGTAAGAATCTAGAAAAGCGACTAAACCAAAATAAAGATTAATTGCGTTTAATTTTTCAACAAGGATTTTGATATCACCGAGAGCCGGTGGCAAAGTGTCAAGAAAATGCGCGAATATGTGTTCCAACAAATAGAAGAACACGAGGCTACGTTTGACAGAGACAACATCCGGGACTTTGTAGATCTCTATATACAGACGAAGACTGAAGGGGACGAAATCATACGAAAGTTTGTAACAAGTAAATACACAAGTTTTATTTCAATCAATTCCATGTTTTCATTCATCCTCATGCTGAAATTCAAAATTCAAAAAAAAAATGTAAATAAAAAAAAAGAATAAATAAAAAAAGAGAAAATAATTCTTTATGAAGTTCATCATCATACCATAAGGTATTGTTCAGGGTCTTTCTTTATATGTTAGCTGGTCTGTTAATTTATAAATACGTTGTTTTAAATTAAAAAAATTCTATTCTAGTACCAAAAATCAAAAAACATTAAAAAATGAATAACCTGTAGTCCTTTCAAATGTGAATTTATATCCTTATTAAGGACAACCATATTTATACATAATCGAATTTACAACACTGTTTGCTTTTGTTTTTTAGAGGGAAACATGTTCCGCGTTATCTTTGATCTATTCTTAGCTGGATTGGAAACTACGTCAACAACATTAGATTGGGCGTTTCTATTTATGACAGAATTTCCGGAAGTCCAGAAAAAATGTCAGGATGAGATTGATAAGGTAAGCATCCTTAATTAAAGGTAATACATCAATAATAACAAATATGTGATTGTTTTGTCTTGAAAAAGCTGTTAATTTTAGAATATTGAATATTTGAAGTTTCCCGAAGTATAATGGTTTCAATTTATATGTGTACTGTTTCTGTCTGTTTTTTATTTAATATGAAGGTTTTATAAGTGGGTAAGTAAATAGATTTGTAAGTTCGCTAGTGAAGGTATACAAACAGGCTATTTTACACCAAGTAACATGACTGTCAAAAGTGTTTGAAACGATTATAGGTTAAATGACCACATTTTATATAAGAAATTGAAGTTTTTTTTATAGCGAGTAGTTTGTAATATAAACAGTTTTATAGTTATAAAAGCATATAAAAGTCAGTGTTACAGACGTGCAGTATTATAAGAAGAAAACTGTAGGCCCAAAACTTGAATACAAGGTTTAGTTGTTATTCCAGCAATGTCTTCCTGCTATCCATTACTTTCTTTATAGATTTTATAGTACCCGAATACATTGCTCTGTCACCAGAGCATTTTTTACGGGCATTGATTTCACTCTATATGTTGGAATGCCTTTCAAATATGTCTGATATGAGAATATTTAAACAATAAATACAATACATGTATAATATATTTTCTATGCTTTGAAGTAAAGTTGTTCACAATTTACGTTTTGCCAGATGTTTTATGACAATTTTTCAGGTACTTGGTGACAAGATCATAGAATATTCCGATCGTACCAAGCTCACATATGTAAATGCCGTCATTATGGAAATTCAGAGATGTGCTCATTTAGGTAATCACATTTATTCTAATTCTACATAATCTCATAGAATTTCATCGTTACTAGCAATAAATATCACAATCCAATCATTATCAATATATGTGTAGCATTTAAATACCTTTATCATCATAACCGCGTTGTAACTGTAATTTCTATGAGAATAGGTTTTGCCTCGGCAATATGTAATCCATATGGACTAAAGTCTTGTTCACTATTATTACGTACTCTTATCGTGTAACTGTGAGCCATGTAACTGTGAGCCACTACTACTAGTAATATACGGAATATAATTTTTGCAGTCCTAGTTCAAGACTTTACAGAATAGTCTAGTTTTTGCATTGGGTCTGATTTTCTGAACGACTGGGCTTTTAAATGTTTGGAAATTGTTAAAGAACCTGGAAACTATACAAAGTACATGTCAAATGATGCAAATATGTCTTATTTCACACAGCATGACCAATTATTTCAACCTTGCTTCTGCCTATAACAATTGTAATGAACTGCCGATTGTACCTGTATAACAGCCACCATAATTAGTTTTATGGGTTATTTAAATCTTATAAAAACAGCTAAAGATTGCATAATTAGCCTCAGACCTGAATCATTTGTCACCAGTCTATGGAACAATTATAGGTCCAATCCCTATTCCGAGAGCAACATGGCGGCCAAAGAGTGTTCTTTGTCGCTTCCTTAGTACGATATTTAATTCTTTAATCGAGTATGATTGCTATGAAATAATATTTTGCAGCTCCACTGAGCGCTCCACACGGAACCAGTGCAGACACGTCACTTGGAGGATACAATATTCCCGCCAAAACAATGATTATACCTTCCCTCTACTCTGTTCATATGGATACAAAGTATTTCTCCAATCCAGAAAAATTCGATCCAGACAGATTTCTGGATGGACATGGTAATCTGTTAAAGAACGAAGCTCTTCTGCCATTTTCAACAGGTGAGATTTCATTATTTGAACATAGTCATTTTGGTTTCGTGTGTCCTTTTACACAGCATGGTCTATGTCTAATGATGTATTTGTTATAAACTCTTTGCATTTTATGTTACACAATGTACACTTGATTGTAGATCGTTTAATGTCCCCAGCTTAAAAATCTTATAATTTAGGTAGGAATGATAAAAGCTATTGCTTCAGTTACACGTAGTCTCCTTATCGTTTGAACATTTTTCTTGTATTTTTTTAGGTATGCATCAGGTAGATTTGATAAGCGATATAAAAGCTAATTAAAGAATTTTATAATGAATCAATTATTTACTTTTCGACGGGTGAATATTACATAAAATGATAAATAAATAATACAAGGATGTCGGGTTCATAGCAGTTGAAAGGTTCAAATTTGTGATATAATATATTCTTATTATTCTATATATGATGTAATTAGTTTTAATCTCTTGGGTTTGTTGTGGTTTAGGACCCCGTGTATGCATTGGCGAACCATTGGCAAGAATGGAGCTATTTTTAGTGTTTGTTTACCTGATCAAGAGATTCAACTTTGCTAGAGAAGATCCAAACAAGCCGCACACACTAGAATCCAAACACTCACAGTCTACAAACGCTCCATTACCGTATAAGTTACGAGCTACCAAAAGAAACTGACAATTCTAATCAAATGATGTCTATAAGGAAAGTATATCTTCATACGGAAGTGTTTACCAAGTAAAAACTGCTGAACTACAAATATTCAATCACGATTATTTACCTACATATGTTATCAACGATTTATTAATGCTTAAGGGTTGTTAAACGAGAAATAAATTCAATGCAGACCAATTATGCTTTTTTCGACATAAGAAGGAAACAAAAATTGACTATGTTAATAATGTTTTTGTGTGCTATAAAAACATATATATTATATATTGTCAATTCAAGCATAATATGATTGTATTTTGAGTTATGGTTATTTCTAAAAATCTGTAGCTAAAACCGATTTATTTAATAGACATTTGTAGCCCTTTATTTATTCATGTTTATTGTTTGTGTAAAGCGTCATTGCTGTGCAATGGAAATTGTAAATACAGATTTACATTACCCTCAAAATCAACTCACAAAAAGCGTCACATTTGCTTAGTTGCTTCAATTAACTCTAAGCCTGCTGGCGATTACAGAATCTAACCATGCGACAAATGTATCCATGCCGTCTAAACTATACTCCATCAAAACAAACAACTTATTGCATGACCAGACAGAGAACAGCTGTGTCAGCTGGAAAGCTGTGTCAGTTTGCCAATGTCGAATTACTAAATATTGGACCTCATTCTATTCAAGTCGTATGACAATAAGTGACTAAATTTAAAAAACAATATTGTTATAATTGTGTTTTGATGCATGAATTGAAATTAAATTTTAATAAAATGTCTTTTGTTATTTGTTCGTAAGGTTAGACCTTGTGCATTGTAAATGTGATCTTATATAGGAAGGTCATTCAATAAATAATGCAACTCAGCTTATAATTTCCGAAGTAAACAAACGACCACTAGGCAGACCGGTTGTACGATAATCATGCGACATCGAAACTGCATTAAAACATGTTAGAAAAAAGTTTGACAATAACAGGTCCTCCCAAGTCATGGCATAAGCCCTTAATCATGTACCTCGGTGCTTTAAGCGAGAAAACCCCAAAATCTTATCAGTTACCATTAATTTATCTTAAAAGGAACGTATTCTTGTGGTAACGTAATGAACTAGTAATCCCTGGCAACCAGATTTCTGCACGGAATCAAATTGTTTGAACAACTTTGGAAGGCGATGAGAACGGAGATCCCATGTATAAGTTCTTTACACCAAGTATCACCAGGGTTGCCTCTGAAACGAGACAACGGATGTATCCATAAACTTCCCTGAAAATAACAAAATAAATTGAAATAAATCTGAAGATGCACTGCCGATATAATCAACCAAACAGCAACAGTAAATAAACAGAAAAAATAAGCCTTTAACATATTAAGAACAACTTGTATCGTAGTAATGTACTATATCACCGCTGTTTCAATTAATGTACTCTCAGTCAAACCTATGCTGGCCTGTAGTGTCAATTTTAAAGCCGCGATAAATGTTACCGTCAGTTTATAAGTTGTCGCGGGCAACTTTTACCTCCGCGAGATTTTATGTCGAAATTGTTGAATTTCGCGGCTTGTAGAAACTCTCGAGTTTTTCTGTCACACGTCTGTCGTAAAAAGTCGAGTTTTTCGAAGGAAACTGTGACATTTTGTCTACATAGTAGACTAAGCCACGCAAGCATAAGCCTACTTTAATTGGTGCATTCCTTGTAAAAAGTCGAGTTGAGCATTAATCCTCGACTTTTTTTGTCGGGAAATGTCTCTTTTGAATAGTCGCTGTTGCAAATTGCTATCACTCGCTGCCACATTTTATAAGACCATTGTTGAGGAACAAAAAGTCGCGGCCTATAGTTTTACCCCTCGACTTTTTCTAGAATTTCTACAACACTTGCAAATAAATGTCTCGGATTTCTTGTCTTTTATAGAAAAACAAGGGAGTCAAACCATTCACGCTACCGGCAACTGGATAATTTTACGTTCCTCGTGACATTTTCAACGATTTCAGCACAAAATGTCGCAGGCTTGCAAGTTGCCCGCAAAATTTTATGATGAAACAATATAATTTCTCGCGGGTCTGAAATGGCCGCAACCAGCCACCATACAAACCGAATATCTAATCAGTGGTTGCCCTTAAAACCCTGATTTGCATAAATTTTTAGAAAAACAAAAAAAAAAAACAAATAGGATTTATGAAATAAGGCAAAACTTTTCAAGGGCATTTAAAAAAATTACCGCCCCCAGTCCCAAAAAATTTTAAACAAAATTTTAAAACAAGGAGCTCGCCCGTCTTTTTTTCCGAAAAACATGGAAATTTTAACAAACGCCCTTTTTTTTTCCCCTGGGAGCCTTCCTTGTGTCAGTTTTTTTAAACCCCAGAAACCAAAGAATCTACCCCCTGGGTATTTGGGGAAAAACCCTTAAAATAAAGGGTCCGTCAAATGTTTTTCTAAAGTTTCCCTTGGGGAAAAGACCTCAAAATTTTTTGGAAGAAGAAATCCAAACCCGGGTAGGAAAAATATTCCCGGGGGTATTTTTGGGGAACCAACTTATTGTCGTTTTTTAAGTGGGTATGATATTATTCACGAGGCTCTTGTAAAGAGAGCCGACAATTTAGCAACAGGCTACTAGATCCACGTAATGCCTACTTTTTCTCAAACGAAAGAAAGGAAGAATCTGGTATGCATTTATAATATTTATACATCGCTAAACAAATGCCATTTGACATCTTTATATTTGCATATTGTAGTATAAATCTTGTAAGAAGGTAGATTTGTTTGGAACAAGTTTGTTTGTTTAGTCATCTGTTCTATATCCTAAGTTGCGCATATCAATTCGTTTTGAAAACACTAGAGTACTGAACTTAAAATAATCCAAAAGATAGTATTCAAACCAATTGTTTGCAAATGATTGTCAACCCAATGCGCATCGGCAGGTCTGGAATTTACGATTCTGTATTCCTTTTACTAAGCTGACCACAGACTCAGTACACTCACGTATACATTGATGTGATTGTAAATGCGAACAAGTCCCTCTGTTTCGGTTAATAAATTGATTTAAACTAAATTAATCACATTTATTAATCTGACAATAAATACATACATTTAAAACTATCTATCTAAAGAAAGAGGAAGGGCGCCACAATTCATAATTCAATATATTTCTTCAGATTTTTTTTTCAATGTCCAGATGATGAGTTTTATGTCGCACCATCATAGTATAGGTCATATGGCGACTTTCCAGCGTTACTGGTAGAGGAAAACATCATGTGCCCCTCCTTGCATTATTTTAGGCACGAGTGGGCACATAAGTAGAACCACCGTTGTTCCGTAAGAATCCAAAGTATTTGGCGCGATTTGGACCTACAGCTGTGCGGGGCAAGTTTATTGAATTCAACAACCTTTGTAACTGGGCCACAGACGCAAGCTATAGGTTAGATCACTTTATGTTTCTATATGAAAAATATAAAACACATTAAAGTGACATTAAAATTACCATAACTGATGTGCTTGTAATGGCAGGAATTGTGACAGGACAATACGATCAATGTTGGAAGGAGTTACGGCGCTTCACGCTTCAAGCTCTTAGAGATTTTGGAGTAGGTAAAGCTTCAATAGAAGAGAAGATAGCTTTGGAAATAGAGACAGCCACGGAATATTTGGGAGGCAGTAACGGAAAACCTACATCAATGAATGATTTAATGCAGAAGGTGGTAGCAAATGTTATCTTTGGAATCATCTTTTGTAAAAGGTTGGATATTTTCACTCCCTGTTTCAGACTTTAGTTGAAGAAGCAATGTATTTGACAAATAACAAGTTAAATATGCACCGGCATGCCTGTGATTGGTTTAAAATAATAATGTAAAATCAAATATAATTATATCAATTTTGAGTGCATGGACTTGCAGATGCGTAGAAATATAATCACAGTCCGACACTTGAGTGGTAAATTTCAAAGCATTTGAAGGATAAACATGCTTATAAGAAAGAGAATTTTTTAAAATAATTATGATGGACTACATTGAGCGGAGAAGTAATTTTCCTTACGTCATTTGATTAATTGACGTCATATGACGTATATACATTCCCTTTTTATGCTGTGAATATATAGTGAAATAATGCACTAGACTGTTAAATAGGGTACTTTGTGAAGCATATTAGAATTGGAGAGTTACAATATAATATAATTTTCTGTTTTTCAGGTATGAATATGACGATCCGGAATTCGATAAAACTCGAGCACTGACTAACATTGTTGTAAGCGGTGCAGGTGCCGTCAGCCCATCTACCTTTATGCCAAAATTTCTTGTTAAGTTGGTCAACCGGAAGGTATGTCCGCTGTTAATTTTATTACCCAGAACGTTTATCTTCAACTACTCCAAAGTTTGTATTTACTTTACCTAAATTTATGTAAACTAATAATTCGCTCAACAGGGATATATGTCATATGTCAACTTGCGGAAAAGGTATGTATTGAATAAGAAGAACAATAAAATAGGGCTAAACAATCTGAAAAAAGGTACGTCCCTCGGGAGCAATTAAAACACAACCTTTATTTAAAATGAAAATTGCAGACTCGGCTAGATTAAGTCTGCTCATAAGGAGAAGGAAGTACAACACCTCTCACGCCCCCTAGCACCGTCTTAAGTAGAAACTCAATTTTCAACACTGTAAAGTAGTTTATTTTATGTTGTTGAGTAGGTTACTAATTTTTCGTGAAAATTATATGTTGATAACAAATCATTAACTCTTTATAATGAAAATACTACTTTAAAAAAAAGTTCTCATATGGTACCTAATTTTCGCATACACAGCCGACATTATCAAACATGTGTAGAGCAAAGCAAAGCTGAATTTTATCTATAACTGAAATTACAAACATAATCAAATAGATATAACTTACTTCAATTCATGAAACATCGTCTCTTTCAGTTTTTGGTTAGATTCATAAAAATCTAATAATTAAATTTCCTTCCACATGCAAAACTTATTTTGAAGACACTTGGGCATGTTCAAATATCCAACGAGCAAGAACTGCAATGCAACGTTTACAATTAGCTAGATGGAAGGGTGACAATCTGGGATAAAATAAACATTAAAACAAAGGTTGCCGTATATCAAAAGAAAAATCATTAAATAATCCATCATACATAAGAGAGCCTTTTTTTAAAAAAAAAAAAAACAACAAAAAACTCTTGATAATTTTTATTAATCGCTTTTTGGATGTATAAACTTCTGTCCAAAATAATTCATTGTTTGTAACAATCCTCGAAAACATGTGTGTCTTTCAATAGGTATTAAACTATCATATTAAAAGTAAATTCTTCATAATCAATTACATTATATATTCTTTCCTCCTGTCAACTCACAACTTTTTTTAAATAGCGAACGGATAGCTTGAATAAATACCTATGCCTGGTTTCACTGAGAAAGACTAATTGTTTAACGACATGGCGTAACTTTTAAATTGTAACTTTTTCATCTTTTAGCATTGTTTGTTTTACTTATTAAAGGAAACGATCATTCATCATTTTTGTTTAAAATACCTTATTTTTGTAAATATGGAAATCTGGAAAAATGGATATTCCTCTACAGCAATGAAAATAAAAGCTTTTATATTGAATTGAAGACC